AGAAATGAATGGTGGATTTCTTCAGCTAGAGAGAGAATATATTTCTATCTGATTTACCTTTACACTATAAATCTGCCTGTGACTCAGAATTTTTTAGAATAATTTTCACATCTGTTATTTCATATCATCCTCAGAGAATCCCATGAAACAACAAGCACACTATCATTTCTATTCAACAAGTGAGAAACTAAAGTCAATTAACATTGGGGAAAATAAAAGTTGGAAGCCAGATATAAAGAAATCTGCAGTGTTGCTTTACAGAATTATATTCCTGCTTCTTTTCTTCTCTCTCCTTAATTTCATATTGTAATGCATCAAAAATGTTGTCTCATCTAATTTACAAGCTTCCCTTGGGGTTACATGATGTGCAAGGATATTTGAATTACAATTCTTCTTGACTGTTGAATCAGAGGGAAATAATTTGACATGCTCAGTGCATAAGTACTTGATGTCTAGAGATACTCTTTCAATCCAATTTAGGTGACTTTTTTGTTGCAATTTTCTTTCATTTTTAAACTATTACAGTGTGATTCTGATTTTGTCACTTTTCCTTTTCTTATTTAAATATTACTGATGGAAATAATAAATAACAATCTACAATAGAGATAGAGAAGAGTTTATTTGAACCAAACCATGGACTATAGCCTGGGAGACACAGATCCAAGAAGTACTTGAATTGTGTTCTGCCAGGCTGCAAAATGGGGGATGCTTATAAAGACCAGAACCACAATATTACATAAGTTGTTTTCAAAAATTATAATTGGAGCTGGCAAGAAGTAAGGGTGCTTGTTAAGTTAGTGTTGGTTAGGGTCTGAAATATTACATGGGGAGAACTTGAAGCTATAATGTTGCAGCTGGCCACTGCTGGTAGATATTGTTTTGAGAATAGCAAGGTGGTGTCCTTAAGTCTGATAGAGTTCAGAAAAGTCGGGTTCTCAGTGATATGAGAATGTATGTAAAACCACATCCACAGTAGCCAACCAGATCCATTTTGGTTGTATGAACCTCAGTTATTCCATTTAAATTTTTAAATGTATTCTTTTCTTTAATGGTTAAAGTAGATATACAATGTATGTTTGATAGGCCACAAGGCAGGCTGTTCTAGTTAGCATCATGTATAAACCAAATCATGTATAAGCCAGAATGACTTCCCCATACCTCAATATGTGAACATTTCTTCCATCATTTTATACCATAACTTCTTAAATTTTATTTAATTTAGGAAGGTGATTTCAATAGATTTGAAGTTTTCCTCTACTTTCACTAGTTTGTTAGAGAGGAAGTGGTTTATAAAATAAACACGAAGTCAAATAACAGCTCAGCCAAAAAATATTCTTTGCAGAATCTTCCCAAAATGTCACACTGTGAACAACAAAAGATGATAATGGAATATATATAGACACTCATTTTTATGGCATTACATGAGAGATGGATTTTTTTCCTTTGAGCTGGTGACATTTTTCAGGCTACAACTGAATGAATGATTAGGAATAATAACGCCTACTCCTAGGAGGTGAGGTGTAACCTGTGTCTACCCAAGACTACATTTTAGAAGTCTCAGGAAAAAATGTTTTTTGGTTTTTTTTTTCGCTCTTTTTTAAAAATTTGAATCACTTATTTCTTTCAGATGACCTTGGAGACATTATCCAAGTTATCTACAGAAAAGTAGAAATAAATTAGATAGCGTTTTATTTACCTTTCAAAAAAGGGATGCTAGTAGGTGTTAAATAGAGTGAGTGTTCTTAAATCTCATGCATCCCTTTTCATCACAGGCAAGTACTGAATATTTAGGATATGTAAAGCCATGCCATAAGGACTTCCCTGGTGGTCTAGTGGCTAAGACTCTGTGCTCCCCATGCAGGGGACCTGCCTTTGATCCCTGGTCAGGAAACTAGATCCCACATGCCACAGCTCAGAGTTCACATGACACAACTAAGATCTACTTTTCCAAATAAATAAATATTTTTTTGAAAGCCCATGCTATATGTAAAGAACTGTCTCTCTTCTTAACTATCTTTAAGTTTGGTGGAAGAGTATAAGCATATAAGTAGCTAAAATAAAATGCATACAATATAAATGTAAACAGAAGCTGTAAATAAATTTGAAGTTACTTAATATTAATCAGTAAATGGCAGGTGTTATCCTTAATAACAATCATGAAAGCACAAATGAATGCAGAGATGATTTCCTACTATAGAGAATATAGGGAGCATTTCTTCTACCAATACTGCCACCAATTCCAACTGGAGAAATGGGAGAAAAAAAATGGAGAAAGGAACTCAAAGTGTTTTAAAACTCTAATGTAGCATGATCTTCATGAGAGCCCTCATTCTTTATCCCGCAATATACTTATCACTATCTTTATAAACAGAGAAATTGAGAATCAGAGAGTTTAAGGCTGCACAACAGGAAAGTAGTATAGCTGGGTTTTGAACCCAAATTCATTTGCTTCCAAAGCTAACAAACTCTCCTCTACAGTAACTTTCTTCCTATTCTACTATGGACTGAATCCCACCCATCAATAAAGAAAATATTCAGCTATAGAAGAGGTCAAAATGAGAAATTTTTAGGTCCAAATACTGAGATATAAAAATGTGTGGTGAGACACATTCAGATGTGATTCCACATTCAGATGGAATACTGAAATGCGACCAGAGCTAGGATGTGGAGAGTCTTGAATGCTGGTTAGGGAGGTGCTTGTTAGTGCGTGGCACTGGAGACACTGATTGTCACAGGGAGGGGAGAGAGAACTGTAACGGCATCTAGCGGCTAAGAGGCAAGGTAGGTGACGACCTGTCCTACTTTACACAAGACAGTGCCCACAGGATATCGTTAGCACTTCTGAAATGTTCTGGAAAGAGCTGAGGTTGAGAAACCTGATATAGATAGTGGGAATCCATTACAGTATTTTAAGATATGTATATATACTTTAAAATGATCATTCTGACCCCAGAACTTACAGAAAGTTGGAGTTAGGACAGGACTGGACACCAACAAGGCAGTTCACAGATGATTGCAGATTTACATTGTAAATCTCTAAAGATGTAAGTGTTGACCATGAGATAAGACAGAGACTGAGAGATACTGCACAGGTGAAATTAAAATTGTGATGAGCAGTTGATTTGTTTCTCTCTCTTTTGGAAGCCTTACTTAACACCCAAATTCCAGGTTTTTAGACTGAGTGGATAGACAGATGAGTGTGCCATGAATTTAGAAATGGATGCTCAGTGGAAAAGAAGCCCTGCTATATGCCAGTCATTATTTTTTATGAAAAGGTTTAAATACTATCACTTATGAACATATTTAGTTGGTGATAACAATGAAAAATCACTATCTATGAGTTATCCAGTAGATATTTAGAAATGCAGTGATTTTGAAAGCAGTGTCACTTAGAGACGTAGATTCCCACAGCCATCTGGATCAAAATGACATTAGGAGCAGGGGTGAGAAAGAAAGTTTCTTATCAGAGGTAAGAAAAAGACGGAAATGACAGCTGAAGACAGAACTATACCAGGAACTTCTGCATTTGCTTTGCAGAAAGATGAAGACCAGTGCCAGAGAGACAGGAAGAACTTAGTACTCTATGGCTGAAATAACCAGTGGGTTAGCAAAAGAAACTGAAAATGAGAGAGAAAAGGAGAATGTGACTCTACAGAGTAATATCAAGATGGTAGGCGCATTCAGCATTGCTCAATTTTTAATGCTACAAAGAAGGTGGTGGTGGACTTGAAGACTGAGATCTCCTTTCAGATTGAGATGTTCAGTTATGGATACTAAGATCGTGGGCAGTTTTAACCATATTATAGCAGCTGAAGCTGGATGGTCATGAGCTGAGACATAAATCATAGGATGAAGAGAGAAAAGTTTTGAGTTGAAGAGAAGGAGGGAAATAGAAAGATGTGAATACCAAAGAAATGTTTTCTTAGTAAGAATATACCTAGTTCTCTCCTACCTATACATAGATAACTGAGTATACATTTAGAGTGAATAAAACTAAAAACTTCAAAGTATTGTAATTAAGGAACTATAGCATCAACTTAGAAAAAAGCACCTCCTACAATTTGAGTTGTGTGTTCATTTTTTTGGGCCTCTAATCAAATCAGACTTTTCAAAAGCTAATGACAAATATGGGTTTTACTGCCTCCACCATAAAGGATGATTTGTGTATTTAGGTAGGACCTGAAGAATTGCATGTTTCAAAACCTTTCCAGGTGATTCTGGTGAAGATACTCCTTAAAACAAATTTTGAGAATTCTGTCCCACAGTCCTCATTTCAGAGATCAGACTAAGCCGAATTCAAGGTCAGACAGCTAAGGAAAGAAAGGGCTGGAGCTGGAATTCAGCTCCCCCAACTTGAACACCAAAGCTCCTTCATTAGATAACCTGACTCTTTCCTGCAGTGGACATACTGGCGATCTGGTGTCTTCTGATGCGTTGGTGTCTGTCATCAAGATCTAATTCATTACCCTCAAGGTTACGAGTGCCCATCTGTAAATATATGCTCAGATTTGTCTCTTCAATGTATCAGTCACCAGGATTATGACATAATATCAGTGAGACATCAGGCACCTCAGTCTCATCCTCAGTGCCTTTTTGGTGTGTTTTATTTTTAAACTAGAAATTTTTTTTTTTAATTAAGTTTTTTTTTTTGATGTGGACCATTGTTACAGTTTTTACTGAATTTATTACAATATTGCTTCTGTTTTACATTTTGGTTTTTTGACCACCAGGCATGTAGAATCTTAGCACATAGACCAGGGATTGAACCCACAAGCCCTGCAGTAGAAGGCGAAGTCTTAACCACTGGACCACCATGGAAGCCCCCGTGTGTCTTGCAAATGTCTTTTTTCTTTCCTGGATAACAGCTATTCTCTCCAGGAACCCGATGTTATGTGGAGAAAGGCTATGTCTAACCTCCAGGTTCTTGCTACTGACAGAAAAACTGAGAGATTTCTTTTCAAGGTCAAATTGCTCACCTTATTGTCTGTTTTACCCTCTAGGAGAGTATGTTGTTATGACCACTCATTTCCACCTGAAGAGAAAGATTGGATATTTTGTTATTCAAACATACCTGCCGTGCATAATGACAGTTATTCTTTCCCAAGTCTCATTCTGGCTCAACAGAGAGTCTGTACCAGCGAGGACTGTCTTTGGTAAGCGCCAATCAGGAAACACATGCAAGGGTCACTTGCAAGGGCAAGTTTTTTCATACCTGTGACATTGCAGATAGAATGAAAAAATAATTATATACTAAATCTGAAGTTAGTACAACAGAAAGGTTCAAGGTATTGCCATTTTCATTATGGCATGATTGTAAAAAATTCTTTTTCAAAATAGCAAGCTGTTTTAGTGCATGTTAGTTGATGGGATTAATGAACACTTGATTTGCTGTTTTAAGAGAGAAATGTAATGAAGCAGGCATAAAATGCTTTGTGATAGATTAAAATATACACATAGGAACACTTATACCTAAACCATACATTTAGAATACACAATCAAGTGTCAGTATATTTTTTGAGAATCTGAGAAAATATCAGCAGAACTACTTCCTTAATATATGAAAGCAGGGATTCTTTATATAGAAATAACTTAGTGATTATACCAGTAAAGGAATATCTCAGTTTTACTAATTTGTGTACTTCTGAAGAGTTACAAATATTTCTATGAAAATATTCTAAATGCCTTAGATACTTTGAGTTAAATCTAATGCAAAATTATTTAAAGGGTAATAACTTTTTACTAATAGGAAAACTCATGCCTAATTCATTGTTTTAGAAGTGTGTATTTCATATAAAGAGCTCCTGCCTGTACACTGTCTTAGGTATACTTTTCAGAATAATAAACACAAGATTTCATTAACAAAAACTTGATGATTCATTCACTCATTTAGTCATTGACTTTTTTTTTGAAACCTATCATGAGGTTCTACTGTGTTCTAATGTAGCTGTCACCATAACATTATCCGCTCCTCTCATAAATTTGGGAGTTTAAAATTTGAATAGCAGTAAAATCTTGCAAAATACTTACTGTTTTAATATCACTCTCTGTTCTATGATATAATTCTCTACTCTCTTATTTAACACTAGAAAAATTCTCTGTAATATTACTCCTGTATTTTAGACAAGAAAGCTAAGGGACACGATATTAAGTATGGGCTGGCCAAAATGTTCATAAAGCTTGAATGAACTTTTTGGCCAACCCAATAACTTGCCCGAGGTCAGAAGCTATGAGGTGAATGAATCTGGAATAAGATTCAGCCTCTTAGCTTTAAAGCCTGTGCACTTAATGATGATGAGGTACCATCCCCATGTACTTCCTGTTCCTTGACAAGGCGTGGAATGGGGTTGTTGTAGGCAGCATAATTCATTTGGAAATAACAACCACATATTCAATTGGTGAAAGGTACGGGTTCATTCCAGAAATATCAAGGTTCATTCCAAGGTTCATTCATATATATAATAGGCACATGCTATGTTTACAACCCTTTACTACAAAACAAAAGGCTTCAGATGCTTACAGTCTATACTGAGGATTGTTCTTGTGCAAAGACCCCTATGGCATCATGGCTTTATCCCAGGAAAACAGCAAGACTCTGCTACCAGGGCCCAGAAAAGAATCTGGGCAAGTTGTTTCTGGGTTGGGAACCACCAAATCTTTGTTGTGACACCAGCCTAAGAGCCCTAATCAGCTAAATCAAGACCCAAAATGATTCCAGCCACCAGGCGGAAGAATAGTTCATTTAAAACTCTTTTTTTCCCTTATCACAATTTGTAAATATTAACTAGTTAGAACTGAAGATTGAACTCTTGTCAGATGCTCACGTCTATATGTGTATGTAGTTTGAACCCTTTATTCATTTGAATGTTTTAATTAGAACAAATGAGATATTTCCTTTATGTTTTATGTTTATTTTTATAGAATGAGCCCAGCACTATAGTAAAAATTATTTTTTTAAAGGCTCACTTTCCGCCCCCTCTGTCCCCAAGAAATACTACTCTTCCTTTTTGGAAATCCTATAAAGCACTTCAGAATGTTTTATAAGTCAAAAATCTTGCTCTTAATAGTTTCAACAGTCTGCTCTCCTAGCCAACTCATGCCCTTTTGGTGAACATAACTACATATTTGTAAATGCAACCATGGCAAGTATTTCTGTGTATCAAGTTATATATTTCCAATGTTTTAAGCTCAGTAAAATCACAAGTGCAATTTTCCAAGACCTTTAGCCTTTTACAATTTATTTAATACACATGCCTCTATTCTTTTTAGTTTGCACCCAGCACATTCCTCTGAGCTGTGGGGGATGACTGAGAGGATCACAGGTATTTGAAGAAAAAATATCAAAAGGAAAAGGAAAGCAAAAGCTATACTTTGCAACAGTTTATTAAATGGCATCCAGAATGCAACAAAGCTGAAGCCATTTTATGTCTTAAAACATCATCTTTTTGACCCTTCCTGCTCTTTCTTATTTGAAGACAGTGTGGTCATGTGATTTTGATTCCAGATACACCCACATTTTTGGCTCAATCTTGTCTTTTAAGTATTAGTTACTTATAAAATGAGAGTATAATTAAAACAGTGCCATTTAAAAGATTAGGTGAGAAAAATAAAATTTGTATATTGCCAGCATCAGTACTTGGAACTTAACAGATGCTCAACACATTTTAATTTTTTTTCCCCTTCTCTATAGCCAGAATTGTAAGATGACAACACACACACACAGACACACATACACACACACAGCATGCCTTTCTTTATGCTATTCTTAACTGTTTTTAATTTATGGATACATAAACCACATAACCCAAAATTTAAAAAAAAAATGGAATTCACTTTAGCAGGGATATATCCAAAAGGAGTGAAGCTGTCAATAATAAGTTATTAACTTTGCCCTTAGTATCAGGCTCAATACTTTATTACATTATTTTATTTAATACTCACAATAGCCCTCTGAGTTTGACTTATTCAAATTAAATTACAAGGGAATAATTACAAATAAAACTCCAGAAGTTCAGACTTGTGAGACAATCTTCCCAAGGTTACTCAGCAATTACAGAGCTGAGGTTTGAAACTGGGTTGCTCTGTTCCCCAAATACTGACATTGGATTACTTTGCTCTTTGCTTAAGTTAATATGTAAATTTGGGGGCTTTTTCCCAGCTAATATTCCTTCAACCAGTTGTTGGTTATGTAATATGGATAATGCCCCAAAATGTCCTGCAATACCTCCAGAACTCATAGTGAGTCTATTCCCTACAGCTGTGACCATGTATCAATATGACTTACTGAAAATCTCAGTGTTCTTAATCCTATCACTTCCTAATAGAGTTGCAAAGATAAATTACCTTGAAATTCATGGAAAATGGAGAATATTGGATGGTTTAAAGTACCTTAGAAAATTTAGCCGCCTACCAGCTGCATGACCCTATGATTCTCTAAAATTAATCAAAATAGGAATCATAGGTATGAGTTTTAGACAGATGCGATGACAATATCTTCTGTGGCAATAATTGACTTATCTTTAAAATGCTTCTACATATTATTATATTTAATCCTCTAATCGTATGAATGTATAAAAGTTTTCCTTTCTTAGAATTTCAACAATGATATATACCAATCAAGGGAATGAAGTGTAAGTCACCACATTTACAGTTATGGAAACTGAGGTCCCTAGGAGCTAACTCACTTGCTCAAGGCTATAGAGTTAATAAATAGTGAGGGACTAGCTACTGGAAGAGGTTAAGATTTTTTCCACACTATGCAGCCTAAGTTATTGGGTTCCTGTGATTTTTTTTTCCATAAATTTTCAAATGGCTTAAAAGGAGACTTATAGTATTCTAACTCATAGATTGCATCACATATAGTAGGTTGAAAATATTAACTTGTTAAATGGATATTATTGAATGTCATCACCCCAATACAAACTCCTATAATTGGACTCTGGTAAAAGAATCTGCCTGCAATGCAGGAGATGCAAGAGACATGGGTTTGATGCCTGGGTTGGGAAGATCCCCAGGAAGAGGGCATGGAAACCCACTCCAGCATGCTTGCCTAAAAAATCTAATAGAGGAGTCTGGCGGGTTACAATTCACAGGGTCACAGAGTCAGATAGGACTGAAGCGACTGAGCACACAAGCAAACTGAAAGCAACTGACTTGAAAACCGCTTTGAATAGAGGTGATTTTAATCCGCTGGGATAGATTCATAGATTAGGGAAGATATATAGCAGCATTAGCAGAAAGAATAAGACTTTGGACATTTGAATCAGATGAATGTATTCAAATTTGGTTTTGCCATTTCTGTGCTATGTGACCTCAAACAAGTCACCTGCGACTTATTTCAGTAATTTCTTCAAAAGAGCAGCTATTTCAAGAATCAGAAAAAATAGTATAAAAGACAAAGAGTTAATAACATAACCAAACATTATCCTAAGATAATTTAGTTATCTGTCAATGATCAATGATAAGTTATTGGTTTTATGGTTTATATATTCAAGTGTTGTTCAGTCACTCAGTAGTGACCCTTTGCGACCCCATGGACTGCAGCACGCAGGCTTCCCTGTCCTTCGCTATTTCTGTAGAATATTAAACAGAGCTGAGGATCCAGTGATTACTTAGGGATCCTGGACAGAGACAATCTCTGCTTTCTTTTTCCTAGAGCTGGGGACAGTGAAGGAATATTATTTCCTTTCCTACCCAGGGCACTGTGTTCAAGATGCCTATTTAAGGGAGTTCACTGTCTTATTCACAGCTTCTCAATAGCAGAGCAGTGTATCCCTCCAAGAACTGCCCTTCAGTACTGCCATACCATGAACTACAAACTACACTGGGATTAAATTAAAACTCATCCATCCCAAACCAAACGGGATGAACTTGAAAACATACTCTGTCTGTGTTTCATTTTACACAAGTCGGGTGACTTCAGTGATGAGAGTTTGTAGTATGAACCTAAAAATTCACTTTCTTTCTTTGCAGGAGTCACAACTGTGCTCACCATGACAACTTTGAGTATCAGTGCCAGAAATTCCCTCCCTAAGGTGGCTTATGCAACTGCCATGGATTGGTTTATTGCAGTGTGCTATGCCTTTGTATTCTCAGCTCTGATCGAGTTTGCCACAGTAAACTATTTCACCAAGAGAGGTTATGCATGGGATGGGAAAAGTGTGGTTCCAGAAAAGGTAAATGCTTTAATATCTCCTGTGATATAGCACCATTATGTCTTTTAAACCTGTAAGATGGAATGTGTGAGCTTGGGGAAATGGCTGAAGGATGCAGAGAGAGGGTAAAGAAGATTGTTTTTTTTCTTATGTCATAAATGATTAAGTGCTGTGAGAATTTCCTCACTGCTAAGGAAGGAGCTTTTTCCGTGGATAGGTGTGCAGAGTCAAGGGAAGGAAATAAAGGAGAAACACAAAGGTAAACATTTCTATTCAAATATGGTTTCCTATGGTCCCCATTAAGAACAGTTAGTGGGAACAGTTTTAACAAACTTGATATTGGGAGCAATTACACCATTATAATTTTTGTGACTTGAAAATCATAGTCTTTTGGGTGTTTTCTGAACCTAATAACTTTGGTCCTAAATGTTATTACTTTAATGACTCAACTAAATTGAGCTTGCAAAATGCATTATCTCTAATTTTCACTAAGGTAAAGGTCAGGAAACATATTTCCTTTTTCCAAAAGAGAGGTTTGCTTTAAGAATCACAACACAGAATTCACAAAATTTCTTCATTGTAGAAAATTATCAAGTCAAGGATATCACTGTTCTTCTCAGTTAGAACCTATTTTGGAGTGACTTTTAAAGCACAGTTGGGGAGGATATTTCTAATTCTGGGCTTTGAAAGAAAAATATGTCAAAAGGCAAGAAAGTCTTGGGATGGTGGAAAGAAAGGCAAAGTCAGAGTCCCAGAGGTTCTAAGACATCTAGGAGTAATCTGGGAGGAATTTCCTACAGCAAATGAAGAGTACTAATGTCCTGAATTGGTCTCTAAAATTACAGTTATGTTGCCAAATACACTTGAAGAATTCTGAAAACTGTCACAGAGTCACAGTATATTAGACAGACTGAGAGGGTCTACAGTAAAGAAATTCATTTAATGATGTTTTTCCCACAGCTCCATGGATATACTAGAAAAGAGGGTCCTTTGTAGAAACATCTACTGCATTTGATAGAATCTATAGTGTTACCGATTCTAAGATGTACCAGTAATTTATGTGTACATAAGAAAGAAAATATTCTGCCAAGTAAAAACTCTTTGAGATTTAACATTCAGCCACAGGTGGATCTATTGAATACTCCAGTGATCTCCTACACAACTCAAAGCAAAGGAAGTTCTATATGGGGTATGCTATAGCAACCAAAATGGACCAGATCCAGGTCCTCAAAATTCACCTTGCCTTGACACATCCTCACTTAGTATAAGAAACATATCTGAATTTCCAAACCAAGAATCTTGTCTCAGGATCAGTAGAGAGGAAAGAAGACAAAAGAAGCTGCAGTTACCAGATGGAGAAAGACGTGAGAGAGTGGAGACAGTTTTTGTCCAATACTTACTTTAGCCATTGATGGTCTCCATATGTCCTAGAACAGAAGGGCAACCCCAAAGGAAAGAGCACTGAACCTAAAGATGTGTGATCATAAGACACTACAAATTGTGAGACACAGCCCCAAATTATAGCTGTGGACATTTTTAAAATCCACATCTTAGAACTACTGGTACACTCTACCAAAGTTCTTCAGAATTAATTATACACAAACATTAGTGATATGCAACTGAAAAATGAAATGCAAACATTGGGAAAAGTTGCTTTTCTATCCTAATCCTTTCTTTGCATGCTGCAAGAAGCCAGTGTCTTTCTGACTGTGGCTTGTCAGTTGCAGTTGTTAATGAATTGTTAGATTAATTGAAGTTGATCAGGAAAGCACAGAATTTGGGTTGAGGTATTGATGATCTCATAATTGAGTTTAGATTTCTTTCTGACTGTGTACTAGTCTTTAAGTGCTGTCTCAAATAAAATATTTCAATCTCTATCAATTCATAGTTCACATTATTCAGTGTACATATATAGATATAGACATATGTACACAGACATCTACATATACATAAACAATACATTTATTCCCATATCTGGCATCTTATTAAGAAAGAGAATATTTTCTATAATGTATTTTTGTCTCTGTAAAAATCTTCCTCAGGGCTTTGCCAGTTTGATTTGCTTAAAACAGGAAATGTGAACACAATGTGATCCAGATCTCACTCTGACATTTAGAGAGGATACATTTTTTTTTTTTTTTCGGTAACTAGGTAGTGTTTTCAGGAGAGTTAAAGTTTTGATCTCTGACATGGTATAACTTGAAAATAAAAAGAAAATCCCAATAGGGCATCACATTTTCAAGTGAATATATAGTGGCCTTCTTAAGATCCACACTCATATGGTTAACTGCTAAATTAAATACTAACTTCTTAGAGAATATGCAACTATATCAGACCACATAGCTCTGAACAATTACCTACTTTATTTTTGAGAAGTGTCTATGTGACAGCAACTAAGAAAACCTGCAGTTATCAATTACCACACAGATAACATCAGTGAGCAGGTAACATCGAGCAAAAATTGAATCCAGGATATCCTGACTAACCCTGCTTTGTCATTTGTGCACTGGAAGCCTGAGGAGAAGGAGCAAATAATAATTGGCTCATCAATTTTTTATCACTGCAAAACAAACTGCCCCAAAACTTAGTGACCTAAAGCAATACCAAGCATTTTGGGCTGGGAAAAACCTGATATTATTTCTGTTAGTTGAACATGGGCTCACTGACATAGTTCCCGCACCAGGGCAAGAAAATCTACAATGGCCTTTCTCCCGTATATGGAGCCTGATGCTGGCTGGATCTCTCACTGGACATAGTCTCTGGTCCCTCAGTGTCTAATTCAGGCTTCATGTTTCTGTGGCATGCTTCCAGAGAGTAAAGAGTGAGGTTGCAAAGCTTCCTGAGGATAGGGTCCTAAGCTGGCACAGCATCACTCTGCCAGAGTCACAAGTATAGATGTAATAAGTGGGGAAATATTTCTATTTCCATTTTTTTATTGGAAAGCCTGGAAAATATTTATCTGCATTTTTCTCTAGCCTTATTGAAAGATAACTGACACACAGCATTGTGTAAGTTTAAGGTGTACAATGTAATTAATTAGATATATTGTATATGATTAATTGGTTACCACCACAGTATTAGCTACCACCTCTAACTGGTCACATAGCCCTTTTTGTGGTGAAAACATTTAAGATTTAGTCTCAGCAATATTAAAGTATATGATACAGTATTGTTATCTATAGTCATCATGGTTTAGTACATTAGGTGCTGTCCAAAATGTCCATAACGCATTTGGACCCTGGAAACCAACCCCAAATATTCATTGGGAGGACTGATGCTGAAGCTGATGCTCCAATACTTTGACCACCTGATGTGAAGAGATGACTCATTGGAAAAAGACCCTGATGTTGGAAAAGATTGGATGCAGGAGGAAAATGGGGTGACAGAGGATGAGATGGTTGGATGGCATCACTGACTCAATGGACATGAGTTTAAGCAAACTCTAGGAGATAGTGAACAACAGGGAAGCCAGGCATGCTGCAGTTCATGGGGTCGCAAAGAGTTGGACACAATTTAGCAACTGAACAACAACAACAAAGGACTTTGATATTTGGTCCTGTCCAAAACATTTGTCATGGATCCAGTATGCTCATATACATTTTGGATAGGACCAAATTGCAAGGACCATTGGCGTAAACCAAATGTCTTACAGACCAACTGTCTTATGGACATTTTGGACCAAATATCCCACCAGGTCACTTGTCAATCTTACAATTAGACCTTAGTGTCTGCATTTTTCATTTATTCCCAAAATGCTGTCATAAATTCCATTCCTTAGATATTAAATAAAGCATGTGTTTGACTTCTAAAGTAAAGGTCACTTTGCTCAAGAACTTATAAACTTGCTTCCCACAATTTACTAAACAAAATACTTTAACTCTTTCCTTTACAGCCAAAGAAAGTGAAGGACCCTCTTATTAAGAAAAACAACACCTATGCTCCAACAGCAACCAGCTACACTCCTAATCTGGCCAGGGGTGACCCCGGCTTAGCCACCATTGCTAAAAGTGCAACCATAGAACCAAAAGAAGTCAAGCCGGAAACAAAACCACCAGAACCGAAGAAAACCTTTAACAGTGTCAGCAAAATTGACCGACTGTCAAGAATAGCCTTCCCACTGTTATTTGGAATCTTTAACTTGGTCTATTGGGCAACATATTTAAACAGAGAGCCTCAGCTAAAAGCCCCCACCCCACATCAATAGGTCCTGTCATTCACATTCTGTTGCTCAGTCCTTTGCACTGGGAATTGCTTTCTGTTCTCAACGTGGTAATTCCCATCTGCTTTATTGCCTCTGTCTTAGAGAATTTGAAAGTTTCCTTATTTCCATAATTCATATAAGAACAACAGACCCCTGTCTGGCTGTCCAGAGCAGAACAGAGCATACAGCTGAGAGACAGGATTCTGATAGAGGGAGCAAAAGAGCAAAATCATGACAGAAGGAGACAGAAGGGAAGAGAGAGAAAAGGAGGGGGAAGTAGATCCAAAGATAGGAGGAAAAGTAGAAGAAAAATCCAACTTAACTACAGGTCATTTGTAGATAATATATTTCCAAATATTCTAGGAGAAAAAAATACTGTATATGTCAAAAATATTTTTATGTGAAGGTGTTTAAAAGAATATAAATGTTTAATGAAGAAACATTTTAAAAAATCTATGTCTTTATTGCACAGATGACGATGTGTTTCTCACATTTCTGTTTTGTTTTTTAAACCTATGTATAGCTTTAAAAATTTGTTTCCAAAGCTCAAGATCCCCATTCTTTCTCTTTTAAGAAATGCCTAGGGCATTATTTTGTTGTTAAATGCTATTTTAAAATTCATGGAAATTGCATAGGCAAAGGTGCAGTGTCTCACCGTAAGAACACATTTAATCCAATGGAGACAAATGCTTTAAATAGGCTGCTTTGCTGTCATCTGAGCTTTTACCAGTAGACTCAATGAGGAATCATTCTAACAGATATATACACTCAATAAAACTAAAAAAAAAATAATAATAATAAATTTAGATAGAACAATTTTAAAAGATTTATTTTCCACCCTCTCTATATCCAGATAACACATGCATCCAGTAATCACTTGATTTTCATTCTGAAGATGTTTTTAGAGGGGCAAAAATATTTTGCAAGCTCTAGAATTGTTGAATGTATTATTTTATATAACAGTACATTAAAAGCTTTAGATTGAAATTTATGACTAATAAACAAATATAGAATATATAAATTATATATGTAAATATGCAGCATGAGATTGTACATTTTTTTACTTTTTTAAAAGTTGTGTTCTTAAAATACTGTGTAGGACTCACCGCTCTTAGCTGTTAGAATGTTGTTAAATGCTATGGAAATACTTTTAGAGCCTGCATTTAAGACCAGAACAGTCTGAAGGAATCAGATGGAATTTACAATATGTGGGTATAAAATCTACTTATGTAGGGAAAGCTTGTAATTCAAACTGTTGTCCCGTGTACAGTAGTGAATCAGTTGTTATCCACTCTAGTCATCCCACTTTTCCCTATTTTAGGCTCTTATAATACAGAAAGAAAATGGAAAAGCATTAGTGGGAGCTAGAAAATCAACTGTATATTACTGCTATCTTTGCTGATACCAACTATTTCAATAAGTGTTGTACCATATGTAGCATTAAATATAAAAATAAATGAAAGAATGTACAGGAACTAGCTTTTATTAAGTAATATTACATTTCATTTATACTGTAGCAATATATTTGTAGGCATACTACGTAAGGGCTTTAATGACAAGAGGTCCACTCATACTCCCTATGAAAATTCTAGTCTCTTTCATTACTTCCCAGATATTTTAGAGATAAATATTTATGAAGAAGGTATTTTTGAAGTCTCCTTTTGTCTGACAGAATTTCAAAGATATTTAAAATTAGCATACAGAATCCACAGGTCATGGGCTAACCACATTTAGAATACTATGACATAAACCTGTTGTCATAATTACCAAATAAGACAGTTGGGATCCATACCCAAGTTTTGAGCAATGTTTGTCTCAAAAAGCTGCTATCCAGTAACGCAGGAAAATACACTTTGTGTTTTCCTAAACAAACTGGTATTTTTAAATGTGCTTTATTGTTTGATTTGGTCCTGCCTAAATTCAATGAGCTAGGCCAATAAAGGCTGAACCAAGGATATTTCATTCTTTGGTATCATGTGTAGATATCATGTATAGAAAATAAAGTAAAATATGGCTCTAATTTCTGTGTTGCTGTTACTCTTGGTTTTTCTTTTTTCTTTTTTTCTTTTTAGCGTTAATCTAAGTGTTTATTAAGAGTATTTTATCTTCCAGACTCCTCATGACTAACATTTGGTCTGTATTTTGCTCATTAGATGTGTATATTTCTTATTAGTCTGCTTTATGCTATGCAATGACTGCATTTCTATCGTTTTTTAGTTCGTTAGTATGTATGGACAGTATTCTATTGTATAAATTGATTGCACAACTTATCAAAGACAAATGATTCTATGTAGCTTTTCTACAGTGCTTTGCTAAACCATGTAACACTAGTTAAGTCTTCCTTGAAAATAAAGATACACTCTTATAGAGGACAGTTCCTGTTAACTCCCAGGAAAAAATTTTAAAAGATGACACTGAATGTTTATGGCACCTTAGTGCAGTGAAGTGGCAATAAAACCTAACATGAATCGAGGTTGTTTATGGCAGATGCATGTATTGCTTTACAGAGTTTAGCAAAAGCTCTTAATTTTATGTCATACTGTATTCTATTATAATAATAAAGTTAACATTATTCAATAACAAAATGGAATGCTTGACTCTCTTTTCCTATTATCAGTACCATTACCTGTTTCAAAACATTTTCAAGTAGGAGCACCTAAAAGTGCCAAGTGCTAACATGAATCTAGGCTACTCAGAAGATTTTTGAAGAGGTGTCAACAGTATGATCCTAAACTATGATTTTAAATGAATCACTTTCAGAAAGAGAAATTCTTAAAAACCTAATATCTGTTGTCATCAGTAGCACCAAAACTCAAAATTTATAAAACACAGATAGAAAAGAATCAACATACTGAATCAATAGTAGTTTGTTCATATATATTGTTAATACAGTAGATTTGTCTTCTGACCTACTCCTGGGAGACTGGTTTAATAGTTTTAGGGAAGAATCTGAGCATTATATTTTTAAAAGCTCCTCCAGAGCTATTATGTCCCTTAATGCTTCTATAAGCAAAAAGTTAACAAAATACAATCACTTGAATAACAATGGAGAAATCATTTCAACAATAGGCATAAAACTGCACCTGGTTCCTACAGACAAGATCATGTGAGGCAAAATCTTTCTGTGTCTTTTTTTATATTTATACAAATGGAACATGTATCTTCTTAAAAAACGATTCAGGACTTAGAAAAATTAATACTTTAAAATCGTTCAATGAAATGACTTACTCAAGTCAAATAAAGTTACCCATGAAAACTAGGTGAACAATCACACTCATTGATTTCTTGGCTCTCATAAAAATGAATGTAGTGAATGATGATTATTTTGGCTATCAAACTACATCCATGTCAAGGCTCACCAAAGTAATTATCTAAGGAATCAAAATAAGAATGGACTTGGCATTATGACTAACCATCTGTTTGAATTTAATTATACCTGTTCATTAAGACCTTCTGTTCGAGTTTTCTAACAGAAAACTTGTTGTGACCAACAAGAACAATCAGCTGATGTGATTACATTACAGCCATAATTTATTCAAATAAATTAACTCTGAATGTTAATTTAACTAAATTCTACTAACATTTGCTGAGTCTCTACCTTGTGTTAAGTATTGTGCTAACTGATAGGGATGTAGAGAGAAACATCTCATGTTCTTTATCCTTAAGGAAATAAAAGCTATGATAGGGGAAGAGAACAAAGAATTAGGCAAAAATAATAATAAAAATATTATAAGAAAAGTAAAGGATGCTATGAAACATAGGACAGGGGTATCTTGCCACTCTTCATAAGGTTAGCTCATTGACTCTATAGGAACTAATAATGTCTAAGATGAAACTTGAAATATAAGAGGAATTGAAGTGGTCCTGCATTACAAGACAGTGGCCTTGGACTTAATACCAACCTGTGAGTTGTTAACCACTTAACCACTGACTAAACAGTTGGGACACCCTAGAATCCCTCAGTTACTATGGTGGGTACTGAGATTATAGAGATGAAGATAATCGTATGCTCTTGGAAAGCTCATCATTTAATAGAGAATGCAAGTGAACCGCAAGTTATAACACTAAAAAAGATGTACAATTACCAATAAATGGGCCCAGTAGAGGGAGTTTATACTTGGGTAGTGGTATAAGGAAGGTCTTCAGATGAAATGTTATCTGAGCTAGATTTTGAAAGATAATTCAACATTTATCAGGCACTTTCGTCTCGCCCTGGTGGCTCAAGACGGTAAAGTGTCTGCCTGCAATGCAGGAGACCTGGGTTCGATCCCTGGGTTGGGAAGATCCCCTGGAGAAGGAAATGACAATCCACTCTAGTACTCTTGCCTGGAAAATTCCATGGATGGAGGAGCCTAGTAGGCTACCGTCCATGTGGTCGCAAAGAGTTGGACATGACTGAGCAACTTCACTTTCTTTCACTTTAGTCTTGGGGAGGCTGCCTGTGATAAGGGACATATTTTTTATTCAATGATGATAACACATTAAAACTTAGTCACAAAGCTTACTGCCAGGGAGCTAATATGTATGTGTAAAGTAGAACATCACATTAAGGGAAGCAATAGGAACTATGGAAAACAGCTCACGTCCAGTTTCTTTAGCCTCAGCTCCAGATATTCAGTGCCTTGTGGGGAAAGGAGCCTCACATTGCTATGCATTCCAATACAACAACAAAAAGTCAAACATTTGATTTTGAATTTCCTTTCAATTCTGATTCTGAAACTACTGCTTGTCACATGTCAATGTGTCAGCCAGTCGAATTTGTAATTCAGCTGAATAGTGAGCTCTTTTTCTCAGTATCTGTACAAATCCACACACTCATTTGGTAATCATTACTTAAGTGGCTATACTATGTTTGGTGTTAAGATTTCACAGAGAAATGGAAGGCTGTCCTTCTCTGTATTAGTTGTTGTTGTTCAGTCACTAAGTTGTGTCCGACTCTTTGTGACCTCATGGACTGCAGCAAGCCAGGATTCCCTGATCTTCACTATCTCCCAGGGCTTGCT